CAGAGTTCAGATCCTCAGCAGCACACAATGCCTTATGCTCTAGTGTGCAGCTCTGATCCCAGGGAGCCTACAGTGAAGGGCGATGGATACAGAATCCCCGGAAGCTTTCCAGCTGCTAGCCTGGTGTATGTAGCTGTTAACAACAAGAGATCCTGTTCAAAACTAAGGTGAACGGCAAGGACTGACATCCAGGGTTGACCTCTGACCGCAACACATGCATGGGGCACATACACAACATATGCAACACATGCATTGGGGCTAACATATGCAACACATGAACATGATCACACATGCACACATCCAGTACGCTGATTAAAAAATAATTCCACGTCACTGAGCTAATATGATTGGAGCTTATTTTCTGAGAAGACACTGAAAGTAAAAGGACGAGGTTGAAGGCCCTCCTCGGCCTTGCTGGATCTCTTCAGCAGTGGCCTTTGAACAAGGTTCTGTACATTTGATTTGCAGCCCTCGCCTGTTAACACATTCCACAACCACTGTGGAACCTAGGAAATAATGTAGTTGGGCCAGAGTTTGCTAAGAACATGCACAAAAACACATGCTCTAAGCTTTGGCCAAAAAACACTGGACCTTAGGCGCATAGTGCCCTCCTGTGCGTTCAGGCACAAGTTGTGAGTTATATGGATTCAGCATGACAGCAATGTTTGTTCAACATAGAAACAGACAGGTTTTGGTTTCACCATTCACAATGGGCCATTAAAAACACCTTTAAAGCACCCAGAAAAGGTGATGGCTTGTGAGAGTGCTGGCAGAGGGATGCTGAGAGGCCCAAATTTCATGGTCTACCAAAAAAAAAAAAAACTTCTTGGTGTAGGGACTGTTGAACTAAATGAAACGCCTACTGCCATGACAGAGAAGAGGACATGGTACCCTAGGGGCCTGGAGGAAGAATGAAATAGGAGTACTAATTGTATTGAGTATATCAATACAAAATTAGTTGCTGCAATTATCAAAACAAAGCATATGCAAGAGCTACTGTCCTCCTTTCCCATGTCTGTGTGTGTGTGCGCGCACACACACACACACGCACACACACACACACACAGAAATTCTTTTCGTTCAACAAAAGAAAACGTAAGGAAAGCAGTCACCAGTTGTAATTGTTGAAGAAGAAATTAAAAGTTGCTTGTAAATTTCTAATGTAAGGTACATTAAGAACTAAAAAACAAAGTTAGAGACATTGGTCATTTTTTCCGTATGAATATTAAAGTTTTGCTTTTTAAAATACGTCACAGTGA